CACCATGCCAGCAATTTTCTTTCTTTCTCTCTCTCTCTCTCTTTCTTTCTTTCTTTCTTTCTTTCTTTCTTTCTTTCTTTCTTTCTCTCTCTCTCTCTCTCTTTCTTTCTTTCTTTCTTTCTTTCTTTCTTTCTTTCTTTCTTTCTTTCTTTCTTTCTCTCTCTCTCTCTCTCTTTCTTTCTTTATTTCTTTCTTTTTTGTAGAGACAAGGTTTTGCTATGTTGCCCAGGTTGGTCTTGAACTCCTGAACTCAAGCAATCTGCTCACCTCAGCCTCCCGAAGTGTTGGGATTACAGGCGTGAGTCACCATGCTGGGCCAGGAAAAGCAACTATTTTTGAACTACGAAGAACACGTGAAGAATGCCAGGGCACAGCTAAGGGAAATATGGTATTTGTGCAAACTAATGCTAGTGGATGCAAACTGTAGCAGGAAGGAAAATGGCTCATTCCCAGGACTCTCCTGGGACATTCTGCAACATCTGACACTCCGGAGGCCCAGTGCTGGCTGCTCTGTAACCTTACCGTGGCCTGGAACTCAGAGCAAAGGCTCATTTTATCACATACCACTTGGCCATCTCCACTAGCTAGCAGTAAGCAAGGACCAGTGGTTGGCAGCTTGCCAGGGAGAGACATGTTAGCAAGAGGGAAAGAAAAGCCACCTGCTTCTCCTCCTGAGACCATGGGGTGAGGGGAAAAAGAGGTCACATCTCAAGTTTGGCTGTCTGCATATTTGCTTCTACCAGGCTGGCTCTTAAGTCTCTTCTGCTGTTTTTCAGGAACCAGAGAATTCGCATAGCTCTGATTAGACATCAACTCGGGGCATGCTAAACATTTCAGCCTGGACACCCTGAGAGGAGCCAGTGCCATTGGCGACAGCTGCTTCTGTGAGGGTTTTTGCTTGGCCAGAGAGGCAGGACCCACTCCTTGGCATTTTGAGGAGCGGTGCTGGGTGGGCAGTGACTGCACTAGCAACAGTCTATACCAAGAGAAGGCCTCAAATTCCCAGAGAAGAAAGGCAGCGAGGCCAAGAAACATTGCTGCCGCTTAACAAGTGAAGACTCATAGTGGAGAATAGGAGCTGAACGCGCGAAGGAGTTTGGGCTTTACTGCCTTCTCTCCTAGCATTGGACAGATCTTCTCTGCTGTGATTATTCTCCATGAATCATCATCCATAGAAAGTGACTGAGGCAATAGAAAGTGAATAATGAATCCCTCAAATAGGCTTTTGTGTTTCTGCCTGGAGGGTTTTGGAAATAACTTGCATCTTAATCTTTTCGACTTAGAATCATAGAACTTGGGAGCTGAAAAGGACCTTCATTAGGACGTGTGGCCTCATAGAAAGACTGGAAGAAAAGATTTGTGGGTATGAGCCTCTGGTTCATCACTAAAAATGGGCATAGCCTAACATATATTGGAGGCTTTCCTTGTGTCAGCTACTCATTTATTCTTCCCAAACCTTGGGAGGCAGGTGCTGCTATTCCTCCATTCTGCAGAGGAGGAAGGGAGATGAGGAGACAGTAGATCACCAGAGGGCACCATGAGGGGTGTGCTGGAACCATCATGTGGAACTGGCCCTGGTTCCAGAACCCACATCCTCTTGGTCATTCTACTCCCTCATCAAGTGGCTTTGGACAAGTAATTTAACTTCTTTGGGTCTCAGTTTTCTCCTCTGTGATCTCTAAAGTTTTAAAATTGCTAACAGTCTGCATCTGCCACCCAAGCATGTGTTTTTACAAGTCAGAAAAGTGTAGCACAGAAATGTTAAGTGACTTGCCCTAGGTCACTCAGGTTGCTAAGGGCAGAATCAGCACAGAAACCCAGGCCCAGTGACCACTGCCCCCAGGCAAGACGTCCTTCCCTTCCACTCCACTTTGGCAGGTGTTCTAGGGGAATCCAACTCCTTGCCTTAGAGGAAACCTGTTCGATGATATCAGATAGACTGGAGATGTTACATTTTGGTGTGGCCAATCATAACACCAGGATGAGCTTAGGAGGCTGGTTATATTTGTTTATCTAAGTACCTCCAACCTGTCTGTCTGTCTGCTGTTTGTCTTTCTCAGGTCATACATAGTGATCGAACCCCACCTGGTAACCGCAGGGAAACAGCATGACTGGTGTGTTACATCTATGCATGCCCCCAGTGGTATCTCCAGTTGTTTGTCCTCTTCATGCAAATGTTGCCACCTTGTGCCAGCTCTCTCACCCAGCTTCCTTCATGACGACAGTGGTTGCAATTCTGCCCCTCTCTCCTCCTTCCCCTGTCCTTGACTCCCTACGTCCAGAATCTGATCATTTACTGGTGTGCACCTGGGATGTGATGTGTGCCTTGGGAGGAGACAGGGCCCAACAGGATCTCAGCTGTGCTCTCAGTGCACACCACATTACAAGCATCCTCATCCCAGTATCCTCCCTATTGAAAAAGAGATGGGAAAGGGGTGGATGTGTCAATAAACACACCATTGAAAGTATCTGAAATAGAACAAGGAAATCCTGGGTGAGGCATTATTCACAATGTGTATCCATATATGTGTGAGTGTGTGTGAGAGTGTGTGTGTGTGTGTGTGTGTGTGTGTATTTCAGACAGTCTGAAATGAGCTCTCACCCACTGGTGAGTGGAAAATTAGCTTTGGCAAGTGAAGAACTGGGTGACAGGTGAGGAAGCCAGCAGGGTATCAGTGTTATCCTTCTCCTATTGCTGTTTCTGTGTTGCTAACAACATCTCTCCCACCTCTCCCTGTTCCATGAAATGTAATTAGGTAGAGTAGAAATGACTTGGAAGGGCTTGGGCATGTGGGGAAGTGATATGAAGATGTTACAATGGCCTTGTGACCTTGTTAGTGAGCCATGTGCTTGCAGGTGGGCTGCGCTAGGCCAGTTGGGAATTAGCATTTTCCTGACGGCCCATGAAGCAAGCTGTGTGGTTTACATTTCTAGTGGGTGGAAGAAAAGATGGCACTCCAGGGACTAAGTCCTAGGAAATGCTGCCATCTGGCATAATGTTGGAGGCAGTGTGTGCCAGGACCAGGAGGCAGGAAATCTGGGTTCTTGGGCTGACTCTAGATTGGCCCTATAATCTCTAATGCCTCAGTTTCTCTAATTGTAAAGTGGGACAGATAGTCCCACTGCTACCTTCTTGTGAAGGTAAAGTATGCAAAGGCCCTTTGAAATGTCGAGAGCACAGTTCTAAATGTGAGGTTTGCCTGCCAAAGGAATTTGCCAAGCCTACTGGGAGGCAGCGGTTTGCTTCTGTGTCAGTTTCCACTGTCTGTGCTCAGACAGGTACTTAAGCATCTCACATCCATGAATCTTAGCTCCTATCTATAGTCAGCAAATAAGAAAAAGGGCAGGCTGATGCTCTGCTTCTGTCTGATCTTCTTACCAATCCTACCCTCGCCTCCCCTCCCCCTGACCTGATGCGATCATCTTGCTGCTCTCCCTCATCTGCTCTGGGCCTGTCAGTTTAATTTAACAAGGTTGTGGGAGAGGTTTGATTTAATCAAACCAGTTGCTGTATCCATCCTGCTCAGAGGTCCCTCAGTGTCACCACCGAGATTCAGATTAGACAGTGACAATTACTTCTTCTTTCCTAGCTATTGCCTCCCCCCTCCCTTTCACTCCCTGGAGGGAACAAGGAGGCAGACCAATCTCCTGGGACCTAAGAATAGATGCGGGAGGATCAAAGGAGGGAAACAGGCTCTGGCCTGAGAAAGCCCCTCTCCATGCCTTACATGGCCTTGTTTAAGGCTGGGCAACAGCCCAAAGGGTGGGGGGAATAGAAAATGTGAGCAAAGCTGCCTTGCAAAGGCTCAAGGCTGCCTGAGGACAGAGCTATGCCATTACTGATGGCCCCACAGAGATAAAACCAGTCTCCCTTATTGTCAGGAAAGTGGGGTGGAGGATGGGTAGAGAAGTAAGATAGCTGCATGCTCTATGTACTCCAGACCATGAGCATTTATTTCCAGGTTCTCAGCCTGGATTCTGGGGTCTCCGGAGCTGGGAGACAACCACAACAACAGGAAGGCGAGGCCCCATCCATCTGAGCTTCTGTGGCTCTGTTCTTGGTGTGGAAGCTGCAGTGACAAGAGGAGATGCCACCTGAGCCAGGGGCTCAGGGGCGGCTGCGTGGGTGTGAGGTAACTATGCTGTGGGTGTTGGCGTGTGTGTGTGTGTGTGTGTGTGTGTGTGTGTGTGTGTGTGTCAGCCAAGGCAGGGGAGTTTCTGGTGCAGAGAGTTCAGAATTCCAGAACAAATCTCTTTTGTTGTCATTTAACCCTTTCATTTCCCTCTCTTTTCAGGAAGTGGGTGCTCAGCACCTCTTGTTCTCCTAAGCAGCTCAGAGGAGAGACAAAGGCCTCTCCAAGGGGAGCCCTTACTTAGGGTGATAGAAATTCTTTTTCTTTTTGCTCCTTTGTGCCACATTCTTCCATTGGTCGGCAGGCAACTGACGTACCCCTCCCTGGGCCCCTTTCAGAGTCCCCCTCCCTGCCATTTGTCTCTCACCCAGATATCCAGCAGACACTACTATCCACAGGAGCTGAATATGATTAGCAGAAACCCTTCCTGACAGCTCCAAAGAGGATCCCTCAAATGCATATTCTATTGAGTGCATCTCATTGCTGCTGACAGCCGCTTTATCAATTAAATTCCACATTCCCAGTCTTCAGAGATGCCATGAACCTCCCTACCTAATAAATCATAGGCCCCCAGTTATTGTTAAATGTCCCATCAGTCTCTAATAAACTCCCTGCCAAAAGGGGCAGGTTATTTATTATGCTGCCTGGACAAGAATAAATTGGGCCCCTTTCTCAAAAGGAGAAGAGCAAACATGCCACCTTCCTCCCTAAAGACTGAGGCAGTGGTGTTAAATGGGACAATTAATCAACGTGGGCCTTGCGCGGAGAGGAATCTGGTCAGAAGCCTGAGGGAGGATCACCTGAGGTTCTCTTCCAAAAGCCAGTCAGGCAAATCCCGATGGCTGGGGGTGGCTGTGCAGTAGGCATGGGCTCAGGCTTTTGCTACTTCTCCCTCTTTCCTAATTTCTGAGGCTAGTCACCCCATAAGCCATGGGACACATGTAAAAAATGGATATTTTCCATGTTGGGAGGTAGCCAGCTAGGATTGGGCAGGGTCATGAAATAATACATTCTATCCAGAAGGGCAGAAGTTGTTTCTTGATAAACTTGATACAACATAAGTTTATAGATGGTGCCAGTTCGCTACACAGATGGCTCAAGAATATAACAATGAAAGCATCCGTGACCAGGCAAAGCAACTAGGAAGCAAAATCTCAGTTGTGCTTTGCTGGGTAAGCAGCATGTACATAGGGATGGCACTGGCACTTGGAAAGCAGTGTACCAACACCTAAAGTCCTAGGAACTGCTAGGTCTAAGAAACAGTGTGTGTTGTGGGCCTTTCCATTACTTGTCTCATATTAGATCCCAGACCTAGGTGATGCTCCAAGGTCTGCAAGTTGGGATCCAAACTGCTCGGCTTTGCCATTATCCAAGCCCCAAGTTACATTTCCAATTGCATTTCTCTTTACTGCTAAATAACACTACCCACCTTTGGAAGAGCATAACACACTCATTTTATATTCCTTATGGTAGCAAATGAAGTGCTCCTTAATATAGGGCCAGTATATCTCTGCATCCTTATGTCCAGGTCATTTCTGCCATACCTGCCTCCACTCACAGTAAAAGACTTAACTTCCCTAAAAGACTATGGCTTTCATGCTTCCACGCCTCTACACAAACTGTTCTCTGTGCCTAGAATATCTTTCTGAGACTTGTCTGCCTGGTGAGCTCTCTTTCCACTCCCACTGCCTGAAGAACGCCTTATTCATCCTTCAGGATAAACTCAGGGTATCAGCCCCCACTGCCTCACAGGACTTGAGCTTTGTCTCCTGGTGCTGCTGCCTTGGCAGAAGTGCTAGACTCCAGGAATTAGGTAAACAATGATCTTGTATGTGCAGTTGTTCTCTCACACTTCCATATATACTTTAAGCAACTTTGATTTGGGGTGTGGAGGAGAAGGACATAGAGAAGAAAGCTATTGCTCTCTGAATACCAAAAGCTGTTTTCCTCAATTTCTCAGAAGTTCTCACTCTCTCCCACATGACAGCCACACTTTGAACAACTAAGGCCCTGAAAAAATGTCAGTACTGCATATGATTTTACACCAGCTTGTGTTACTTGCATATTTCATGCTTGGTCATTTCCCTAGCTGGGCTGTCAACTCTTTTAGGACAGAGGGTAAAAAGGGCCTAGACTTTGCCGTCAAATAGATCTGAGTTCCAATCCCAATTATGAGCTCTGTGACTTTGAGCAGATTAGTAATCTTCTGAGGAGTTACTTGAGGGCAGCATCTTCTTCGGCATCTGACACATAGAAGGCTTTTAGGATAAAGTCCAGACACTAGCCTGGCCTACACTTCATTCTCCTGCCTCATCAAAGCTTACTGTCCCATTTGCATTCTAAGCTCTTTTAGAATGTGCTATGGTGGTCCTCACCTCCAGACCTCCATTTTCCCCTCCTCTGTCACAAGGCCAACTTTGATTCATTTTTCAGATCTTACCGTAGCTCTCACTAATGTTAGGAAGATGTGGCAGAGGTTGTTAGTTGCCTCCAATGTCCTTTCCCCCTTCCTCTATAGTAATGGACCTCCTCTCAAATCAGTGTATAGCTGGGCATGTGATTGTCCAGAAAAATGACATTTCCCAGATTTTTTGTGTTTTTTTTGCAAGAAGGTATAACTTTATGGCAAAGTTCTTTCCAAGAAATGCCAGATAATGTGGCAGCTTTTGAGAACATTTCTTAAAAGGACTGCTGGCATGATGACCATTACCATTTCTACTTTCTATTTTGAGTCTTCTTCCTTCCTGCTGGCTGCAATGCAAACATGACGACTGGAACTACAGCAACTGTTTGGGGACCAAGACAGAAGTCTGGGTGCTTGGGATCTTTGTGGACCAGGGCTATCAGTCCTGCTTCCAGAATTCTCTACAAGGGCAAAATGAACTTCTATCCTGGGGAGGTAACCTCCTATTTTGAGGTCTTACTTTCAATCAAACCTAATTTTGACTGCTAAGTCTTTCTTGGCTCCCCACATCTGGTTACCTCCTTGACTTCAGTAGCACCCTGCACTTTATACAGCAAATGAGGCCATCTGTTTGTGTGCATCTGTCTCCCTGAGTGCAGAGGCTCTGTTTACTTTGTTCTATTTTTGTATCTCTAGCACTTGGCTGATTTATAGGTGTTCAGAACATTTTTGTTGAATGATTAGAGATGCTTTGTAGATTGAATGCAAATAATAATATTGCCTACCTTGTGTTGCTCTGAGGGTCAAATGAGAAAAAGTGGCTTCAAAACCTTAAGTTTCCTTCCCTTCTTTCCACATTCCCCCACCGATCCTCACACCCAGGGTGGGCCACCTTACACTATGCCTTCTTTTTACTGTTTTCTTTTCCTCTGGGTTCAGAAGCCTC